CCATATACACTTTTTCTTAGTTATTGAATAATAATTTTTTTTGTTAGTTATTCACCAAATTCACCCTTTCCATTATTCTATGTTGACAAAAAATTGTCAATATATATGTACGTAAGGAAATAAGGAGGCCCATGAATAAAGTTGCCATTCCGTAAGGTAGCAATATTGGACTCGACCCATTTTCGGCCCATATCCTTAAAAAAGGAAATCGGACCGGATTAAACCGATATTCGGTAAGAGAAACGGCCGACTGTTTCTTTAGACCAAGAAGAGAATATGCCTTAAGAGTTAAACGAAGAAGATTCGTGACTCGTCTCTGTCACTGTTGCTCTTCTTCTTCTTCATAAACAAACTTTTTCTTCCTCGAGCTTTTTCTTTACCTTCATAGCTTCAGTTTCGACTTCCATCTCTCCGTGTATCTACGTCGCAAGGTTTGTTCTCTGCGATTCCTCTCGCTAAGTTTAATCTCTCTGAAAATTTTGATTGTATCGGGATTTGCTTTATATTCTTTTTCCCATGGAACAGTTATGCTAATTTGTTTCAATGAATTTCCTTATTGATAGTTTTAGATGGTTTGGAATTTGAATCTGTGCATGCTTGCAGGATCAATTTTTTTGATGAATTTGAGAAAAAACCCAGAATTTTTTAATTATTTTGGCCTTAGCTAGTGTTAACCCTGCGATTTGATATGAAACTGAAAAACCCTAAGAGAAATTTTCTAGCTGTTCACAGTTTAGCAATCTGATTTTAGATCAACAAATTATTGGTTAATTGATTTAATCTGTTTGATTGTTTCTATAGATGCAATTATTTTTCAATTTATGTTTTTGTTTTGTCTTTTGGTGATCAGAGCAACAGCTAAACCAAACAGTACCTACCAAGCCAGGCTTAGACCAGCAAGTAATTGCTGGCTAGCCAGAGAGATTTTGCTTGGTGGTCTTGAAACACCAATCCCTATGAGCCCTCAAAGAGTATCAAAGACAAGCAAATCCCTTGAGGGTATCCATGGGGTTCATGTTGTGTCTCATTCGCCTTTCGCCTTTGAGAGTATAAGCCAAGTATCCAGCTTTGAATCCTCTGATGCAGGAACAAAACAGAGACTATTCATTGAGTAAGTTTGATTGGTTCCTTTCAAATAGCTTGTTTTATAGGTTGATATGTTACGATATTCTAAGCACTCTCATATGGCAATGGTACATATTGTGCTGCGATTATCGATTTGACCTATCGAGAGTTAATCTAGTTGAAAGATCTTGCTCACTTATTCTGAGGTTAGGTGTTTGATTCAGTGCCCTTATTTTATTTTATCGTCTGCAGACGCGTATGGCAGCAACGACCACCATGCCTCAGACCCATTCATTGCAGCATCCACGGTATTTTAATAAATACTACTCAGTTTCTTCCATCTTGTTTTTGCATTTCCCTTTGCTTTTCAGTGTGTCGTATTGATCTTTTGGTATTTAATCGGTATCCTACCTTATTGATAGGTGATCGGAGTATCTTAGAAACAGCTGCTAATGTGATCACATCGCTCCCTTTCGTTGCCCTCGGTATGCAGGCACCGAGGTAATCATCCTTTCTTGTTTCATCTGATTTCAAATAAACAAGTACATCTTTTTACCCGATTAGATAACCAAGTATGGACGAATTATGCAACTATAGGAAGAACTTGAACATGAAGGTGTATGCAAACTCCTTAATCGGAGTCGGAGTCGCATCGAGTTTGTATCACTCTTCAAGAGGGAAGTTGAGGAAGTACCTTAGATGGGCTGATTACACAATGATAGCCATAGCGACAGTAGTAAGTGTTCTAGCTTTTCATCCATTGATGCCATAGTTTAACAACACTATCTAACTAATAATAGTTATATTGTACAGTGTCTTTCTAGGGCTCTTAGGGAAGAGAACCCAAAGTTCTTGATGGCTGCATCAGCTTTGGCTTTACCATTCCAGCCTCTCGTGGTTTCAGCTGTTCACACCGGAATGATGGAGGTACTAAGAAAACTCATCTTCTACAGTCCATGTAACTAAATCTCGGTTGAGACAATCTAAACTCAATTCTCAACTTTTACTCAGGTTGCATTTGCGAAAAGAGCCTTAAAGGATCCAGATTTAAAATCGGCTCATAATTTACACAAGATGTCTTCGTTATTGGGCGGAGCTTTGTTCATAGCTGATGATCTTTTCCCTGAAACACCATTCATTCACGCCGGTTGGCATCTCGCTGCAGCCATTGGCGTTGGAACGTGCAATAAGCTTCTTCAGTAGTCTACCACAAGCACCAAATATATTTGGTAATTGTGGAACTGCTGCTATATTCTTGGCTCAGAGAAACCACGGTTTCACTGAGCTCCTAATCAGTCGACATAACTAGTCACTATTTGTAGTCCATCTTATCTTCAGTGTAATGTTAAGGAACAAAAAACAAGTCGCATTTAATCTTATAGAAACAAAACATATGAATCAGCAAATATATTCCATTAAAAGTATTAAGCCTGGTTGACAAATATACAATCTTGCAGAAGCTAAGCATAGAGGTAGAACAGAGCGTAATCAAATGTTTGATCCATTACAAAACAGAAAAAGAATTTTTAAGTTTGGAAGATCCAATCTTTCCTCCAATAATACGATTCAATCATGAAGAGTTGCCAAAATATCCTCATCCCTGTACAAAAAGAACCTGCAGAGAAATCAAAAGACATATATAAGTCAAGTAAAAGAAAACATGGGTCTGCTTCTCTGAGGAATAACAACAAACAGATGATATGCATACTCTTTCTCTCCGAGATTCACTTGTGTACCACCGAATTCAGGCAAGAGAACTGTGTCACCTTCCCTAACAGAAACTGGAATCGTCTTCCCATCTCTGTCTCTCGCTCCTGGACCAACGGCTATCACTTTCCCGGAATTCAATATTAAACCAAGCCAAATTTAATTCTCATTCTCATCAATTAAAAGAATGTACACAAATATTTATATACAATATCAGGATTAAACAAAATGAAACTTAAACCTCATGTATAGTTGACTGTTGACTAATTAACTATACAGCTAATAAGATGTAACAAACTAATCTTATCTACTGTCTACAATACA